AACGCGGATTTCACTTAACACGGGACCCTCTGGGTTCTATTGACCGCGTTAAGTGGGGTACAACTGTATACAAAATGCAGTACAGTACACTTACTTTGAGGTGTGTATGTAGAGTGTTGCTGGATGATGATGGGAATTAGAAGTGGGGGTGGAGGAGAAGGGAGAAGAGAAGGAAGTGGGGATGGAGGAGAAATTGCCTTTTTTTGGACCCATGCTTGATACAGTAATTTCACCAATAAAATTTTAAGTTCACTAGCTGTAATTAAAGATTATTTTATTTAAATCAACACTGCACTGCACTATATATTATAAATATGTTAACTAAATTTCAGAATAACCAATTATTTTTGTGTAAAAACATAAAAATACTCTGTATTCATGAGAGCAACAAACACGATGTTTCCACCACTGTAAACAAAGTTAAACTGACGCTTTGGCAGGCGAGTTAAGTGGCTGACGGGCGCACAAAAAAATAGTTCCCTGTACTGCATATATTATCAATATAACTAAATTTTAAAATGACTAATAATTTTAATATAAAAAAAATGCAAAAATATTAAAGAGCACAACCTTCTTGATATTTATTCCACTGGAAACGAATGTAAACATAAAACCGATTACTGTATTGGCGGACTAGCTGATCAGCTTATGTGCACAACAAAACGTGCTTGTCGTAAGGATTTCGTTAATCGAAGTTTTGTTCGTTACCGAATTGAAGATCCTTATGGGAGCTAATTCGTTAACCGAGGGACCACTGTAGTTGTATTGGACAATTTGATGAGCATAAACCTTTTGTTTTCCCCATTACATACAGCCATAATTTTGGGCAAAACATGACAGTACTATAATGTACAACTTGTACTCAAATGTACTAAGTTAATTACTAATTTTTTTATGACTAGCACAAACTCTGGGATGTTTATACCTGTACTCAAATTAATCGCCATCTTGCAGGAATTCCAGCAATGCAAGTTATATTCTGCTAAGTCAAGACTGACATTTTATAAGCAAACAGCTTAAACACCCTGTCTTGTATAATCCTGAGTCCCTGACCCTTCCCCCTCCACTGACAACTAATCTCCCATCACTGGCTGTGAACACCCCACCTCCCCTTCCCCCCCTCCACTGACAACTAATCTCCCGTCACTGGCTGTGAACATCCCACCTCCCCTTCCTCTTCCACTGACAACCATTCTCCCATCACTGGCTGTGAACACCCCACCTCCCCTTCCCCCCCTCCACTGACAACTAATCTCCCATCACTGGCTGTGAACATCCCACCTTCCCTTCCCCCCCTTCCTCCTCTCAGCCAGCAGGAGAGGCAAAATGGCAGTAATAAGGATTTTACAGGATAATTTTTTTTTTAGGCATAAAGTTTTTCTTTTATAAAATGTCACAAATTTAACTTGGCAAAATATAACTTCCATTGCTGGAATCCTTGGAAGATAGCGATTAATTTGAGTATAAACATCCCATAGTTTGCACTAGTCATAAAAATATTAGAAATTAACTTAGTACATTTGAGTACAATTAGTACATTAAAGTAGTACAGTCATGTTTTTCCCAAAATTATGACGTTTTCACAGGGAAAAGTCTATAACTAAACCTAGTGGTCTGGATATTATGGCATTGAATGTTACAGAGTATTTCAAATATTGTTTGTTTATTTCTGTACAGAGAGAGACTGGTGGTGGAGGAGGGATGGAGACCCTGGGGGCAGAAACTGACCACTCACCCTGAGGCTGCATGTACTCCTCAGTTACCCATGAAAGAAGCGAGAGTGAGGTTCGATCATGTGTTGCTCTCATGCCACCCTTATCGACCTTATCTCAAAACAGGTTTTTCTAACCTTCAAATCCCCAAGGCTCGGCTAATTATGGGCCGATTCTAATACCAGATTGACAACCCATTATCCGAAATTCCGAAAACCTCTGAAAACCAAAAGTTTTTGTGGACCAAAATTTTTTTTTCTTTTTTTTTATAACAGGGATCAGCCCACCCGGGCACAGGTCACTGACCCACATCGGGGCCTGGGGAGTGAAAATAATAATAATAATAATAATAATAATAATAATAATAATAATAATAATAATAATAATAATAATAATAATAAATAATAATAATAAATAATAAATAATAAATAATAATAATAATAATAATAATAATAATAAATAATAAATAATAATAATAATAATAATAATAATAATAATAATAATAATAATAATAATAATTCATAGTAAATAAAATTTATAAAAAAAATATAAGGTAATAATAATGATAATAATAATAATAATAAAATAATAACAATACAGTGGTCCCTCGGTTAACGAGCACAATTTGTTCCAGAAGGTTACTTGTTAACCGAAACCATTGTTTCAATGGGTTTTTGGGTAATTGGTTCCAGCACACTGAAAATTGCCAAAAATCAACAAAAAAGTTAGTAAAGTACACTTACTTTGAGGTGTGTATGTAGAAGGCTCCTGGATGATGATGATGATGATGAGACTTAGAATGGGGGTGGAGGAGAAGGGAGAAGAGAAGGCATTGGGGTGGAAGAGAAGTCACCCCATGGTGCCATTTCACCCATAAAATTTTAGTTCTCTTGATGTAATTCAAGATTATTTTCTTTAAATCAACACTGCACTGCATTATATAATGTCAATATGCAAAATAAATTTCAAATTGACCAATAATTAGCTTGGAAACACAGAAAAAAAGCATTTAGTTGAAGAGAGTCTCAAGCAAGATGTTACCTCCACTGAAAAGACACAGAGACTGACGCCTGTTTGGTGTGTTGACAGGCTGGATGGCACGCATAAAACTAGTTTCCTGTACTTCAATTATGTTCAATAATTGTTAAAATGACTAAAAAATTTAATATCAAACTTTTAAAATTATTGAATAGTATAAACTTCTTGATATTTACTAAAATAGTAAGGAATTTAAGCCCTAGAACCGATTACTGTATTGGCGGACTAATACTACAGCTGGTGGACCGCCAAATGCAAGCAAAAACATGTGGAGGGTCGCTCATTAAAAACTAGTTAATCGAGGGATTGCTAGTTAACCGAAGTTAAGAATCTTATAGAAGGTAAATCATTAACCGAAATCTCGTTAACCAAGGGATCACTGTAAAATTAATAATAAAAATAATAATAATAATAAAGAAACACATGAATGAAAAAAAGATCAAAAGTGAGAAACACACCGTAGACCTATTAATTACTATTACTATTATTATAATTATTATTATATTTTAGTTCCCCAGGCCCCAATGTGGGTCAATGACCTGTGCCCAGGTGGGCTGATCCCTGTATAAAAAAAAAAATTCCGAAATGCATCTGGCCCCAAGGATTTCGGATAAGGGATTGTCAACCTGTAAAACAAAAAGTAAGAACAGCATGCCCTCAAATTCGAGTGAGCTCTCAAAATGGCTGTGAATCGCCAAATCCATGAATAACATTTGCTGATGGGGAGGGGGACACATATTTACTTGTGTACATAGAAATATATATTCCCTTTATGTGTTTGCCCTTAGGACAATTATTTTTTTACCTGTATTGTATATGTGTGTGTGTGTGTGTGTGTAGACACACACACACACAAAAAAACACATACAAATAAACAATAATGGAAAATCCTCCCACATACATTCAGAAAGAAATTTATTAAAAATGTTCCTCGAGTCTACCCTCAAGTCTACTCCATGCTCTATTAGTAACACACGGAAGGAGTTGAGAGTAGAAGCAACATTTATAATAAAAAAAAATCTGATTATTTGTGTTAGGATTTTCCCATTACTGTATTATTTATTTGTATGTATTTTGTGTGTGTGTGTCTACACTCATGCACACACACATATATACAATACAATACTGTACATACGTACAATCAGATAGATATGTATTAAAAATATTGAGTCTACCCTCTCAAGTCCACTCCATGCTTTGTTAATACATTTTTTTCTGATTATTTGTGAGAGTATTTTCCCATTATTATTTATTTCTATGTGTTTTGTGTGTGTGTGTCTGCACACACACATATATACAATAAAGCTAGAGGAAATTACTGTCTCTAGAACGAATGACTCCCTGTCCTGGCCACGAAAATGCCCTTAGTCATTCTTGGCTACATCCAGGGTGTCATCCGCGAATAATAGAGGACCGCGAAATAAAAATCTGTGAATTATCTGGCCATACTGTAGTAGAATAACATATTTTGCATGGCTGAACATAAAGATTTTCTTTATATTTAATTTGGTTTATTATTTGCAGCTTTATCTTTATAAATATTTGGAAGAAAAAATGAGTCGGGAAAAAATTCATGCACCCAAAAATGACAGTGATAATCAGAAATAGCTACTGTATATGGCAAATTCAAGAGGAGTAAACTACCTATACTACACATGAATTTCAATGTAATCTAGCAAGAAGTTATGGAGAAGTAGGATTTTAATACTTGATAAGAATATAAGGGAAAAATCGGGTATCAGGGATTAGGCAGAACCAATTCAGGGGTATAGCAACAATGTATCTGGTGACCTTAATTGTTGACAGGAAATTAATATTGACTGATGAATTATTAACAAATTTCGTGCTTCAGCCGGACGGTCCCCTTACCCAAATGGTAGTGTCCCTCTCAATGGTTGTTCTATCATTCAAGTGTTGGTGGGGATGTTTGGCACAGCGACATGTCACCAAGTAAGAGTGAAAAGGTCTGCTCACCCTCTGGCCTGACTGAAACACGAATTCCTGACCCCAACTGTACTTATGGAAAAATTATGAAAATGGCATAGTAATTTTCATAACTTCATATTTCTCATTCATAAATTGAATGAAGATATATTATTTATATTTTCATAATTCGGGGACTGCCTGTACAGTATTTTTAACCATGCATATATCAGGAAGTTTTAAATTTAAGGCTATAAACTTTTCACATTTACTTTTCCCAGGGGTTTCTCTCCAAGTTTACTTTCCATTTCACAAGATAAAACAAACCATAATGACAGCACTGGTGGCTATGAAGATGGTGGGAAGATCATAACTCTGCAACTTTGATGAAAGAGCATCTGACACTGTCTGTTGACATTCAAGATAAAACTTGCAAACTCTCTCTGCTTCAGCTGCCTTATAGCTTGAGTCTGGGGGATCCTTGTACAATTTTTTTAAAACATCACTGTGTAACCTTGTTGTTTCCTGAAAGAGTAACTCTGCATTACCTGTAAGAAAGAGATGAAAATAGCAAATGAATCGTACCGTTATATTATTTTATGATTCTTTTTCAATTTTACTACAGTACTGTACAGGCACTTAACTGGTATTAAAATAATGAGGAGGGTTACACTTACCATGGTCTACGTGGAGTCCTGACCCACGGGCAATTGCCAGCAACTGTTTTGCAGCATTATGATGTAAGGACATTCTTTTCTCCACTTCAAAATGTGAGAACACTTCAGTAAGTGGTTTCCCAATATTTCCCTCAGGAACTCCTATGCCAGTTAAGAAGGACAGTGTGGAGGCAAGATCAACTTGTTTGGCTTCACGGACTTTGTAGGGTCTGAAAAATGATGACATTACAGAAAGGCTGTTGTTATTAACCTTGAGAGCTAAATACAGTAATGCAAATATACAGTACAGTAGGATCTCAAGTTTAGTGAGTTTTAGATTCGCAATTCATATGTTTGGCATCACTTTTAAAATTTCCAGCCAGTAAAGTATAGCAATTTTCATTTCCGGTTTCGTGAGTCAATGGAGAGTGGGCAGCACGCATTGTCACAGTCTTTTGTTATCCTCCGTTTTTTATTCTTACAACAGCGGTGAAGTGACCTTGGATTATATAACCCATCGTGCTTACATTTCGCGAGATTCTTGTTTAACTATTTATGATTCTTGTGCATTAACGATTCTTGTGTATTAGCAATTCTTGTGGATTAACAGTTCTTGTGTATTGACGATTCTTGTGTATTGACGATTCTTGTGTATTAACGATTCTTGTGTGTTAATAGTTCTTGTGTCTTGACAATGAGTGAGGTGCGTAATGTAAATGTTGGGAGCGGTTCTGGTGGTAAAAATGGCCATAGAGAAGGTCAACAAGGAAAACCCCAAGCCAAGCGTGACTACCGTAAGGGGGTCAAGAAGAGGAAATACACCCTTGAAATGAAACAAGAGATGCTTGAAATGATCAAAAATGGTGCACGTACCCGTACCTGTGAAATCATGCGTAGGTTCAACTGCCCCGAATCAACCATACGTTCCCTTAAGAAGAACAAGAAAGCCTTAACTGCTTCTGTGAATGTATTCTCAAGATTTTCTAGTAACAAGACATTCTCCGAAACTTCACAACAATACTTACTGCTTGTTATCACAGAACATCACTTCACAAGTGGGTGGAAAGAAAAAACCGTGAGCAGGGTGACCTGACTGGGCCACAGACAGGCATCAAGCACGTGTTTATTATGCTGCAGTTGCACAGAAGAAACGGGTTAACTCTCCACCACCGTTCAATGCTTCTGTTGGTTGGTTGGCTGCTTTTAAGAAGCATTATGAAGTCAAGTTTGCCCACTACTATGGGGAGAGTACATCGGATGATGTCGCAGCAGCAGAAAAATATCTGGCTGTCTTTCAAGCTTTTGTGAAAGTGAGTGGTTATTGCCGAGACCAGAGCTTCAACTGTGACAAAACTGGCATTTTCTGGAAGCGCTCACCAAAAACCACTTTCACTGCCAAGGATGAAAAACAGACAAGGGGTGTAAAGACTTTAAAGGACAGGATTACAGTTTTATTCACAGCTAATGCAAGTAGAGATTTCTTGATGAAACACCTGGCTGTTAACCGTGCTGCCCGTCCTAGAGCCTACCGTCATGCCAATAAGTCACAGCTCAATGTTTATTGGACGTCTAATAAGAAAGCTTGAGTTACAAGGTCTTTATGCACTGATTGGTTTGACAAGCACTTTGTTCCTGACGCCCAACAGTACTGCCATTATCTTCCTTCCTCCTAACACCACATCGCTTCTGCAGCCATTTGACCACAAATTCATCAGACTCATTACAGTGGGGTATGCTATAACGAACGGATCCTACTACGAATATTCCTATAACGAATGGTTTTACCTATAAAATTGAGAATGCTATAACGAACGGAACTCCTACAACGAACGCGGATGAATACGGGACTATTTCGCCTGGCGCATGAATATTGTTGTACCGCGACCCACAACAAGAGTGTCAGGCGCCATCTTTGTCTCATTGTGTAGCCAGTGCACCACTGTTATTGTTGAAATTTCGTCTTTTGATGTGGAAATAGAGTTATTTGTATAAATATTTTGTTATACAAGTGTACAATTGTGACAATGAATCGTTCAAAGCGAGTAAGAAAGCTCATAACTCTTGAAACTAAGTAAAAATCATAAAGCAACGTGAGGAATGGAACAAGCATTGCGAAACTTAGTGATGAGTATGGGATGGCTAAATCGACTATATGTACGATTTTAAAGAATAAAGAGGAGTTGAAAACTGTGCAAGTGGCTAAGGGAATCTCTAGACTTAGCAAAGCAAGGTGTAATGTGATTGAGGAGATGGAAAATTTACTCTTAGTGTGGATAAAGGAGAAAGAAATGGCAGGTGATAGCATTAGTGAAGCTATAATTTGTGAGGAGGCCAGACAATTGTTTGAGGACCTTAAAGCCAAGACTCCCAGTGCAAGTGATAGTGATGTGCCAGTGTTTAGGGGTACCAAGGGGTGGTTTACTGGTTTCAGAAGGAGAAATAAATTACATAGTGTTGTGAGACATGGTGATGCTGCTAGTGCAGATAAGGAAGCAGCTAAGGAACACCATGACATTTTTTTTAATATTATTAAAGAGGGAGGCTTTGTTTCTCAGCAGGTATTCAACTGTGATGAAACTGGACTTTTTTGGAAAAAAATGCCTCGCCGTACATACATTACCAAGGAGGAAACTTCTGTCCCTGGCCATAAGCCAATGAAAGACAGGCTTACCCTCCTTCTTTGTGCTAATGCTTCTGGTGACTGCAAAATAAAGCCACTCCTTGTGTACCATGCAGAAAACCCCAGAGCTTTCAAAAACATTAGGAAGACCCGCCTTGGTGTTATGTGGCGGTCAACCCCAAAGGCTTGGGTGACCAGGAATTTATTCTCTGAGTGGGTAATTGAGGTGTTTGGACCCAGTGTTCGGGAATACCTCAGGGAGAATAATCTTCCACTGAAAGCTTTGTTGGTGATAGACAATGCACCTGCCCACCCTCCTAATTTGATGGTTGAATTGCCAGAGGAGTTCAACTTCATCACTGTGCACTTCTTGCCACCCAACACAACACCTCTCATCCAGCCCATGGATCAACAGGTAATTTCTAACTTTAAGAAGCTGTACACAAAGGCACTGTTTAGAAAATGTTTTGCGTCCACTTCTTCCAGTGATGTTAGCTTGAAGGAATTTTGGAAAAGTCACTTCAATATAGCAGACGCTGTTTTTTTAATTACCTGAGCTGGAAAGAGGTTACTGTGAGGTGTCTTTGTGCTGCTTGGAGGCCATTGTGGCCTGAATGTGTCCTTCAAAGAGACTTTGAAGGCTTCAAAGAGTTAGAAGAAGAGGCTGTTGTTCATGAAATTGTGTCTCTGGGCAATTCCATGGGCCTGGAAGTGGATGATGATGATGTTGAGGAGTTGGTGGAAGAGCACAGTAAGGAACTGTCCACTGAGGAGCTGCTTGAGCTTCACAAAGAACAAAACGAGACACTGAAGCGGAGCTTAACTTCTGAGGAGTCAGGAGGAGGAGGACAAGGAGGAAAGCCGCATCATTCCAGCCAAAGATCTCAAGGATGCGTTCTTTTGCTGGAGCAAACTGTCCAAACTTGCTGAGGATTATCATCCTGATGTTGGTTCCGTGCAAAAGGCCATCAGTGTGTTTAATGACAATGTTATGAACTACTTTTGGAAGGTCCAGAAATCAAGGTTGAAGCAGCCAACCCTGGATTCCTTCTTTACAAAGGTAACAAAAGAACCTACAGACAAAGTGCCTGTGAGACAGTCACCAAAGAGGGCTAGGAAGGATGACTCCTCTCCTTCCACCTCTTCTCCATAATTCTCTCCTCCCCCCTCCCCCTCTGCCTACTGTCCTGCATGCTGAACAACACTAAGGTAAGATAAAGTACCGTATTTTTTACATTTTCCACAGAATTTTTTCAGAGTTAAGTATTTGGGGGCCTGGAACGGATTAATCCTATAATGAATGAATGCTATAACGAACGAGGTTCTAGAACCAATTAGATTCGTTATAGCATACCCCACTGTAGTTGAATCTCAACAAATTGGGGCAGAACTCTTTGACAGTGACCAGGCTCTATCAGCACCAGCTAACCAGGAGGAGGAGATGGTAAACGACCAGACTCGAAGCACCTCACCACCCTGCAACCATGAAGTGTTATCAGTTTGTGAATTTTGGAAGAAATATAATATTAAAAATGCAGTGGACAGAATTGTTGAGACATGGTATAAGATTAATGTTGTAACAATGCTACATGCATGGAAGCCTTTGTTTGCTAACTCTGAGATAAGTGGGGCAGAGCAGACCGAGGCAAGCGGGGAGAGGCAGTCCGTGGAGGCAACACTAATGGACACGGTCGAGGCAGCGTGATCAGTCCCATCACCGGGATTTTCGGATGTTCAGATTGAAGATTTGCGAGGAATCATTGGTCAACATCAGCAGCAACCGACAACTGAAGAAATGTTGAAGGAGGATGAAGAACAACAACAGCAACCAACACAAGAGGATGACGAGCCTGCCTGGTGAGCCTACAACACGGCAGATGACTGAGTTGCACATAAGCATCAAACGTCTCAGTGAACAGCTAAAAGAATACGATACCAGGCCTCATCCTCGGAACCTTATCTGCCTTGCCACTGATAAGGTTATAGAGGAATATAAGGTCTTGTACATGTCCTGTGTTAATGCTCATCAGCAGGCCCTTAATACTCAGTACCTGTACACGGTCCAGCCTGTTATTAATGCCTTGGCAAACATCACTTTAGGAGATGATGATGGCATCACCAATGATGATATTGAAGTGGGTGACTGACTGGTGGAAGCCGCCTCAAGACTTTGAGGGATTTGATGCTGAGATTAAAGGAGGTGTAGAGGAGGGAGTAAGGAGGAAGTAGTAACCAGCCTCCCCTGCCTCGGAACCCATCAACCAGCCCTGTGAAGCATTTCACTGACTCCATCAAGGTAAGTTGTTCTACAGTATGAGTGTACAGTCAACCCTCGCTTTACGCGGTCCCACATTCTGCGTTTCCACGTTTAAGCGGTACCCTGCCGAAACCGGAATGCTCACATTCAGCGGTGCGTGTACCCCTTTACGCGGAGAGCGGCGCGAGCAGAGTGCGCACAAGGTCGCCCAGTCATCAAAACATTACCGGGTTCTTCACCCGCCACCCACCACAGCCGGCCCAAGTCAATGATAGTGATAATTATAGTGAGGATATGGACTTATATGGACTTTGAGGGGTTTGACAAAGAGGCCTTGCAAGCCTCTGTGGTGG